CCCTCAGGGTCCACAAAACACCCCCAGACACTTCCCAGGTGAGTGTGGGAACCCCAAAACCCCCACCAGGAACCCTGAAACCCCCCCCAGATCCCTCCCAGGTGAATGCAGGAACCCTGAATCTCCCTTCAGGGACCCCAAAAACTCTCCCTGGGACCCTCAAAAACCCTCTGAGATACCTCCAGACCCCTCATTTGCCCCCAAAACCCCTCTTGGGATCCCCCCAAACCCCCTTTTATCCCCCAGGGCACGGCGCAAGGGGATCTGTATGTGGATGATGGAATCAGCTTCGACTACGCCACCAAAAATGCATTCCTGCACCGGCACTTCCACTTTGCCAATGGCACTCTCACCTCCAGGTACCCAAAATATCCCAAAACCAGCCTAAAATACCCTAAAGTATTCCAGAAATCCCACCTGAAGCAGCCCCAGGGTAACCTGACTGCCAGCTATCCAAAAAATCCCCTAAAGTAGCCCCAAAACTGCCCCAAAAAAACCTCCCAGGCAGGTACACAAAAATCCCATAAACAAAGGGGAAAAAAAGGGCAGGAAATGTAAGGGGAAAAATGGAAACATGAGGGGACAAAAAGGGCAGGAAAACGTGAGGGGAGAAAAAGGGCGGGAAAACGTGAGGGGACAAAAAGGGCGGGAAAACGTGAGGGGACAAAAAGGGCGGGAAAACGTGAGGAGAGAAAAAGTGTGGGAAACAGGAGTGAAAAAAGCAGCCCAAAAATACCCCCAAATACTGAAAAATATCCCTCAAATCCACCCCAAAACAACCCCTAAGAGCCTTCACAATCATGTACCCAAAATACTCCAAACATGGTCCTAAAATATCCCCAAAACAACCCAAAAATACCCCCCAAACAGCTCCAGGCACCCTCACAGCTGTGTGTACAAAAATACCCTAAACATACCCCTGAACTCACCCCAAACACCTCCTAGGAACCTTTATGGACAGGTACCCAAAACAGCCCCAAAATATCCCAAAAATACCTCTAGGGTGTCCCCAAACCCCCGTTTCTCGTGGGCCCTGTGTGTGATGGGGGTGAGGGATCAGAGGTGATTTTTGGGGGGCTGTGACCCTCCTTGTGACCCCTCTGTCCCCCCAGCTCTGCTGACCCCCACGGGTCCATGTCCAGCCCAGCCTGGCTGGAGCGAGTGGTCATCCTGGGGGTGGGGCGGCCGGAGAGTGCCCTGCTGACCACCCAAGGTGAGGGGGGTTTTGGGGGAGTTTTGGGGTTTTAGGGTGGGTTTTGGGGGTTTTAGGGTGGGTTTTGGGGGGTTTTGGAGGGGTCATCCTGGGGGTGGAGTGGCTGGAGAGCGCCTGGCTCAGGATGGACATTGAGGGGTTTGGGGGAGGAGGGTGGATTTTGGAAGATCCTGAGGAGACTTTGGGGTTTCTGAGGGGTTTTTGGGGTCCTTGAGGGAGAATTTGGGATCCTTGAGAGAAATTTTGTTGTCCTTGAGGGAATTTTATGGTTTCTGAGGGGAATTGGGGTCCCAGAGGGGAATTCAAGGTCCCTCACGAAGAATTTGGGGTTTCTGAGGAGCATTTTGTGTTCTTGATGGGTTCTCGGGGTCAGTGAGCTGGAGTTTTATGATTCCTCTGAGTTTTTTACATTCCTGATGAATTTTTGGGGTCCCTGACCCCGAATTTGGGATCCCTGACCCCGAATTTTGTGTCTCCATCTGCAGACGGTTCCCAGAGCTCGCTGCATTTCCAGCACGACCCCGAGCGCTCGGTGCTGACCCTGCGGCGCCCTGGGGTCCCCATTGGGGCCGACTGGAGCATCTCCCTGCGATAATGGACGGGGGGGGGGGCCCCCGGACCACTCCCCAAAATTCCCTGAACCCCCTGGGCCCCCCCAGAGCCCCCCAAAAAACCTCAAACCCCCCCCAAAAAAAACCCCAGCGGCCGCCGCTGTTTGAGGAGCCCAGAATTGGGGGTGGGGGGGGTTTGAGTCCCCCAGGATGAGGGGTGAGCCCCTCCCCAAAATGAGGATGGAACCCCTCCAAATTAGGGGTTGTGACCCCCCCCAAAATGAGGGGTCAGTCCCCCCCAAAATGAGGATTGAGCCCCCCCAAATGGGGGGTCAGACCCTGCCCAAATGAGGGGTGAGACCACCCCCAAATCACAGGTTGAGCCCCTCCCCCCCAATTTTACCCCAAATTTGGGGTCTCTGAGCCCCCAAATTCAAGGTTTGGGTGTGACTCTGCTCCCCCCCCCCCCAAATTAGGGGGGTTAAGAGGGGTCTGAAACCCCCTAAATTGGGGTTTCCCCCCCAAATTTGGGTGGGGGTCGTGTCGAGGAGGGGTTGGGGACCAAAGCTCTGTGTGCGCCCCCCCCACGCCCCCTCCCCTTTTTGCCCGCCCCTCCCCCAGCCCGGGAGGGTCTCGGGGGGGGGTTTGGGGACCCCTCCCCCCTCTTTGGTGGGGGGGAGGCAGAGCCGGGTCCCCCCCCCCCGCTGCACAGGGGGGGGGGGGGGGGGGTCGGGGGGAGGCCGGAACCTTTCTTGCGACCCCCACCCCCCCCACCGGAACTTTTTCATCCGCGTGAGGCGGGGCGGGGGGGAAGCATTGTGAGAGGGGACCGGAAGCTGCCGTCAGACCGGAAGTGCTGCTCCACCGGAGCCTCCGCGCCCCCGAAAGCGGCACCGGCCCCGCCCCCCTCACACCGGGACCCCCATCCCCCATCCCCCGACCCCTCCTCAGGGACCCCCGGCAAGGCCAGAAACCCCCCGGATACCCCCCGGGGCCGGGCCGGCCGCAGCGCCACGTCCGCACTGGGAGTGAACGGGGACTGGGAATGAACTGGGACTGGCGGGGGGCAACTGGGAGCACTGGGAAGAGCCGCTGAAGACCCCCGGTGGGGGGGGGAGAGATGTGAAAGCGGGACCCCCTGAAGGCGCCCAGAACCCCCCGGAACCCCCTGAGAGCCCCCCCAGGACCCCCCGGCCCCCCTCCGCGATGCGGCTGCGGCTCAGGAACGTTTTCCTCGTTTATTTCGTGGTGTCGCTCGTGGGGCTCTTCTGCGCCCTGCGGGAGCTCGGTGAGGGCCGGGGGGGGCTGGGGGCGATTTTGGGAGCGTTTGGGGAGGTCTGGGGGCAATTCTGGGAGCGTTTGGGGAGGTCTGAGGGGATTTGGGAGGGATCTGAGGAGGCTTGAGAGGATTTGGGGGGTCTGGGGGAGATTTTAGGGAGGTCTGTGGGTTTGGGGGCCCCTGGTTTTATTTGGGGTGGGTTTGGGGGTTCCTGAGGCCCCTGGGCTTATTTGGGGTGGGTTTGGGGGTTCCTGAGGCCCCTGGGTTTATTTAGGGTGGTGGGTTTGGGGTGGATTTTGGGGGTCCCTGGGTTTATCTGGGGAGGGTTTTGGGGGTCCCTGGGTGGGTTTGGGGGTCCCTGACGCCCCCTCCCCCCCAGGCCGGCCCTGTCCCTGCCCCCACCCTGAGCCCGAACGTCGCCGGGGCCGCTCCGGGGGGGTCCCGGGGGGGGAGGGGCTGCCCCCGATCTACGTGGTGACCCCCACCTACGCCAGGTGAGCCCCCAGACCCATTGCACCCCCCCAAGTGGCCCTGAGCTCCCTGCCCCACTGCCCCCAATCCCCAGGACCCCCAGACCCATTTTAACCCCCCCAGACCCATTTTA